ATTGTCTTGCCAATTATAGACAGAAACACATATTAGCATTTATATACATCACATCATTATTCATGGCCATGCTTGAAGTATGTCTAATAAGGTGATCACCAATATTGGAAATTTGACAATTTAATTGACCATTAAAATTCAAAGAAAATGTGATTTGATGTGATAATTGAAATAGGTCATCTGAGTTTAATAATTACCCATTATGGAAACCTGAAGTTTCATTTAATATGAAAGAAATAATGTGCTGACGCTCTCTCATGTTAGAGATATGAAATAAATTAAATGGCGAGACATAACATTGAGATTGAGCTATATTTGAATTGTAATTTTAATAGTTTAATTTGAAGAAAATTTCAAGAGATTATATACTAGTTTCTGAGAACTTTGTATGGGCATATGTAATAGGTGGCCAAAAGCTCACCACGATAGCTTATATGTTGTTCAGTATTAGGTGACTAGAAACTCACCATATTAGGTGACCAGAAGGCAGAAGCTCACCAAAGTTACTTGTATGTGAAATTTTTTTTTGGAGTATCTAGTATCTCAGTAAATAAAGTAATAAAGTATTTGATGATCCTGAAGATCACTATGTAGTTGAATTACATACAAGTGACTTAGGGCCTATTCTCTTACGTTGAAATTCAGTTCAATTCAGCTCCTAATTTCCTTCTCTTATAAAATATTCATTTCAGTTCAGTTCAGTTCAGCTCAGCTCAATTCAGTTCAATTCAGTTCAGCTGAGTTGAGTCAATGAGAACAGGCCCTTATACTCAGCATATAACAATCTCTTGATTATTGGGGCTATTATCAGTCAGCACAAGAATAAAGAAAAGTAATGATAAACTGTTGCACAATATACTCTCCCCATGGATAATAATCTCCAGAAGATATATATTTTATTGAATTTGACCCTCCCAATGAAGTGAATTATATTGCAAATTGATGTACTAAGTTGGTCAAGAATTTTGATGATGCCCCTATATATGAGATATTTTACCAACTTAGGGGGAGAAGAGTTAGCATAATTTGAAAAATTCAAAAGAATCGATGATCCCTATAATGTTAATTTGAAACCATTCGGAAGCATAGAAAGATACATTTTGATCAGAGTTAGTGATACTATGTGTATACATTGAGATAAAATCTTGCCAATTGTGACTTACTACACCTGAAGTGTAGATTGTTTGATCGGTTCCAATAAAAATATATTATACATAGCAAGATAGTGTAGTTGATACTTTAAAAGTGGAATAATTATAATATATTAATATCATAGTGTATAAAATCTTCCAGGAGTAATATAGATATCTGAATAATCTATAATAGATGACCTATGATGTGATATGAGAAATGTTATAATGGTACCAATGAGAAATGTTTTCAAATATCATTGTGAAATAGCTTGCTAAACGTCCTTTGAAGAGTTTTATAATGCCGACATATGATGGAACCGATAAATATCATGCATATGCAAAAGGAGTGGACTTGCGAATAAGGGATTTGAAATAAATGTCCACTTTCATGTCGACATATTGATGATATTCAAAAGCTTATCATGGACCAGAAGTCTTAACGAAATATAAATGATGATCATGATCAAAGATTTTCATGGACCAGAAGTCTATTGAAAAAGGGATTTTAAGAATCCGCACTTTACAGTGTCTTGCATTTTTTAGTCTTATGTGCATATGTGAATCATAGGTAAATTATCATTTAATTATTGCATGTGTAGGAAGTCATTAGATGCATCATTCCTTGCACACATTTTGTTCAATTACATCATTCATATATGTCATGAATTCTACGTTTCATTTACATGCATTAGTTCTATACAATAATTTTGTGGTATATGTAAATGTTCATTATATATATAGTAAGACATATTTATTACAACTTTGATGGAATATTATAAAGACATGTTTATATTCAAATGGGCTTATAATTATGATGAAATTATATATGACATTGATCTAATATTATTTATGAATCATGTTAGAATAGTTCTCGAAGAACTTATATGCAACGTATTTATAGCCGTACAAATTTTATATTTTGAACATTGTAATTATTATCAAACTTTTAGTCTATGTGACTACATCATTGGCATCTCAACTTGAAGATTGAGCATATGAAAGTTAGTGAAAATTCCTATTTGTATTTGCAAGAGAGCTATCATGGCAATTATGAATATTATAAATAATATCAACGGAATACTTATGCGTGAAGCTGTTTTATTATAGTCTAAAACAACTATGATCAATGAATATAATTACATGTGTTATATTAATTCATACGAGATTGAAAAGCAACATTAATAATATCAATGTGTTTCCATTAAGGAATGTTTGATCAAATAATAATCATCAATTTATATTATTCACGACCTCCAGAAGAAGGCGTAACCGCATAAGTTTAATTATTAAAGTAACTTTATTCAAATAGAGGTCTTGAATGATATAGAGATAAATCCATACATGGTGAAATGAAGGCACTTCATATGTTCACGTGAAGACTTGAAGATGCAAATTCAAATTAGGAGGGTCGAAGAGCAAGATAAGGAATGATATTGTACTACATATGAGAAGACACCTAAACATATTGGATTCATTGCAGCACTAGTTAATCTACAGTTGTGTATTCATCAGGGGGAAAAAATACGCGCCGCACTCTTTTTCCCTTAACCATGATTTTTGTCCCACATTGAGTTTTCCTGGTAAGGTTTTTAATGAAGCAGCATATCGAGCGTTGTTACATACGAAGAATGTTGTACTCTTTTTCTTTCATTAGGTTTTTATCCCACATGGTTTTTCCTATTAAGGTTTTAATGAGGCGCAGTCTTCGAAGATAGACATCCAAGGGGGAGTGTTATGAAATATTTGTGGATGACTATATACTCTTGTACTCTCCGGAACATTCTAGATTTAGGGTTTATCATTCTCAAAGCAAACCCTAGCATTGTATTTGTATATATATCCATACTCTATGGAATAAATACATATAGATTAATTCTCTCTCAAACTCTCATATTTCCCCTTTATTTATTTGAAAGAGGGGCAGCGATTTGGGAGGAGCAACAACCTCTGACGAGGGTTGACAGAGGTACGAACATGGGCAGCGTGTTCCGACGAAGGGTCTACGAAGATTTTCAAGGCCAGCGAGTTGTGTAGGCGGACGATCGATAGCCAGGGGATTGTTTTTGCGGGAGAGGGGACAGGTGGCGAGGGTCTGGGGTAGGGGCGACAGGGTTGGGGGCGAAGGTGGTTGGGTTTTCCGGTGGTGTGGGTACATAAGAAGGTGGTGATGTGGTGGTGTGGTGGGGAACGAGAATGGAAATACCTAGGGGGGTGGGGAATGGACTTAGAAGAATTTGGGGTAATGGAGGGATAAAGGGAATGGGAAAAAACGACTAACAAACAGCAACAAAGGGAATTAGGGGGGTTGATTCCTTTTCTCTTTGATAAATACCCTCAACCAAACGGCCCCTAAGAGTAAAAACAAAACCTCGTTTGAGATTTTATTCTAATACCAAACACCAACCAACATGATTACCCGATTGGGTTATATAATGTTGAATTACATAAACTTGTTCCTATAAAAAAAAAAATATATACTTTTTCACCAAAAAAAAAAAAAAAAAAAACATACTAATATAAGATATTACAAAAAAAAAAATGAATAATAACAACATAGAATAGTTATTATTGCTTTTACACAAGCTTACCGCACAAACTATTGCTTCTGATGGTGAATGAGCTTGCAACTAGTGAATTTTGAGTTGGCTTAAACATGCCCCACATATAATATTTCCTTTGAAATCCTGCAATACAAAATATTTTTAAATAATTAAAAATAGCATTAAAAAAATTATATGATTTAAACCTTATTCCCCTTCAAATTAGTGATAAAGAATTACAACCAACTTAAATTAATAATAAATCGATTACATTTGTATAAATAATTTCAATATAATTCATCAGAAACTTAAGAGACATTATATAGCACTTAAAAATTAATTTCAACACTTACTCCAATGTTCTTGACGTAGTTCTTGTGATGAAAAAAGTACAAGATCTAAATTGTTATTAATGTTAAAAGTCCAAGCAGAGTGAAGGTTAATCATCTTTTCTAACACAGTGTTGTATGCTTTCTCATCCCTACATAAAAAATCCAAAAAATATGTTTAGTTAAATATAAAAATCAAACACATTTTAAAAAAATAAATAAAAAACACAAATAAACTAAGGAAATTCTCTTTGGTGAACTCCAACTTTTCCATTTTCTAAGTGGTAAACATTCTTAAATTTTATTATCAATGGTAAAACCTAAATTATTGATTACCATTGATAAGTGTTATTTCCTTAACTATAGTTAGTTTTTTTTTTTTTTTTTTATAATTATATTGAAATTATAAAAAAAAAACCAATCCCTCCCCCAACCCAGCCCCCTCCCGGTGGCCGGAAAAAACGCCGACCTCCCCTAGCACCGGCGACTTCTACCTCCTCCCTTTCCTCCACCTACAACACCTCCACTCTCCCCGTCGGAATTGGCCCCCCTCCCCTCCCGCCACCGCAAAACCCCATGACCAACCCCCATCTCGTCGGCAAATGGTCGACCGTCTCCCTTATCACTCAAAAATTAGGGGTGAGTATGGATCGGATATCCGATCCGAAGTTGGATTTCGGATCGGATATCCGTATTCGAAAATGCAAATATTTGATATCCGTATCCGATCCGAAATCTTCGGATGTTCGATGATCTGGATATCCGAAAATTTCGGATCGGATAGTTCTGATATAGGATATCCGAACCTTTTAATGATTTGGTTTTTTTTACACGAATAATTATGTTAAAATAATAATTTATTGTCAAAATTAATTTGTTTTTAAAGTCAATTCATGACTGCAAAGTGCAAACTCAAACTCATAATTACAAGCTACAATTCTTCATATAATTTGAGTTTAATAATTCTACAAATTTTAAAATATAACAATCCACAAATTTCAAAATCTAAAAATCAAGATTAACAGTAACACATACCAATAGAAAGCAGAAAAAAAAAGAAAAAAAAAAACCCAAAAAACCAAAATTAATTCACTGTCAAAATGGAATAAAAATTAAAAAAAAAAAACTCTTGTAATTATGTACATTATACAAGACAAATAAAAAAAACCAAATTAAATGAAAAAAATGTAGATCTTGAGTGAGGACGACGAAGACGACGAGAGTTGAGACTTGTGAAAGGCAAGCTTCTGGTTGTGACTTCTGAGGACGACGAAGACGCGAAGGTTTGTAGATCTAAGAGGTTGAAATTGAGAGGCTAGGGGTCTGAATTGTTGAGGGATTTTGAGGAAATGTTTAAGGATTTTGAGGAATTGTTGAGGGATTTTGCGAAAATGTATAGTGAAGCAGCCATGTACTAATGAAGAGGAAGGAGGAAATTTGAATTTTGGGAGAGTAAGGAGGAGAGAGAAAGAGAGGACAAAGAGAGAGATGGAGGAAACGGCTGAATGAGAGAGGAGAGAGAAATAATTAGATTATTAAGGTTTGGTACTTAGGCCTTTGGGGAAATGTGGAGTTTCTAAAAAGTAAAAACTGATGGATATTAGGAGGTGTTGATTTTTTTCGGATATTCGGATATCCGAAATCGAAATTTTCGATATCCGATCCGATATCCGAAATATTCAGATCGGATATCCGATCCGAAAATCTTTTCGGATCGGTTATCCTAAATTTTCGGATCGGATGCGGATCGGAATTTCGGATTTTCGGATTATCAGATAGTTTTGCTCAGCCCTATCGAAAATGGCCAGCCAGCCCCTTCTAACCCCAAAAACCACCCCTAACTGACCCACTCCAACCCCAAAAATCGCCCACTCTCCCTCGAAAATAACCTCTCACCACCACAAAACTCAAACCGTTTCCCCTACACCATGACCCTCTCCCTGTTGGAATCGGCCCTCCTCCCCTGACCCCCACCCCGATTCGACCCCTATCCCCTTCGCCTCCCCGAAAACCAACCCCCTAAACAACCTAAAAACTAAAACCCAATTTTTGGGTTTTGTTTAAAAACCCTAAACGGGTTTGGATTTTTTTGGTGTTTTTGGGTTGTGTTTAGTGTTTCTAGGGCGGCGAACAGAGGTTGGGGGAGGTCGGCGCTTCCATGGGTTGGGGAGGACGGCGCACTGATGAAGGTTGGGCGGTCGGTGCGATGGCGTGGGTGGGTGCAGGGGAGGGGGAGCTGGCAGTGGGTGGGGGAAGGGGTGGTTGATTTTTATTTTTTTTTAAAATAATTAGTATAATTATTAAATTCTTAAAAAAATAATTAAAAACCTAACTATAGTTAAATGTTATTGTTAAAAAAATAAAAAAAAACCTAACTATAGTTAAATTTTTTATAAAATATAATGATTAATGGCACCACTAATAATTATAAAAAGTTTATGAGTACCAAAGACAATTTTAAAAAACTATGTTTACCACTTAGAATTTTATAAAATTGAAGTTTATCAAAGAGAATTTCTCTATAAACTATGTATATCTCTATTATATAAATGACAGAGTAATTTGTAATATAAATACCTCTCTTCAGATGGAAAAAAGTATAAAGCAATATCAGCAGTCATAGGAGGTGAGGCTTCAAAAGCTTTAGGCCACACTTCTTGCTTTGGCACAAGTTTAAAGATCAATTCTTGTGGCAATACACTTGTTGCTCCATGTACCTTTAATGAAGCTGTATTTGAAAGATGAGCTGTAATTCCCAAAGTTATATGTTGTAAATTACATATCATGCCACATCTTCCTCTGCCAACAAATTTTAATTTTATGTTAATATAAGTGTAAAGTAAAAAAAATAATAATATCAATGATATAAAAGAATATTCAACTCACTCCATAAAAGATATATTGAAATATATTAATAATATAAAATTAATAAATTCTTATATTTATATCTTCATTATCCAAAAATTAAAATTTGTAAATAAAATTAATTACCTATTTTTTTTTTTTTTTGAAAAATAATCACCTATTTTTATAAATACAAAACCTTGCATACTATATTTTTTTTTAAAAAATAAACCAATTAAAATCTTGAGTCAAAATTGTTCCAAGAGTTATATCATCATAAATGTCAACTAATAAAAACAAAGGAAATAATATCACAACATAAATAACAATAAAGGTTAAATACATAATTAAAGAAAATTTAATAATTATAAATAGGAAAAAGAAAAAAAAAAGATAGGTACCTCCATGAGATATCAATAATTGGTTGTGCTAACACATTTGGAATTGATTGAAAAACTGCAGTAGCACCAAAATTCCTAGTTGCACTTATGTTAGGTGGACAATATGCTGAAATGTTGACACTGTCAAGGTTGGATGGTTTAGGTTTTAAGTCATTCAACTCTCCAAAATTCTTTTCAAGAATCAACTTTTTCCCAATATTTTTTGATTCATTATGTTCATCACATATCTCATGATAAGATGAATTTTTTGAATTCTCGGTATTGTCTAGTTCCTCAGAGTCATTTTCATGAAAACAATCCTCAAATTTCCTTTTGACTAAATTGGATGATTTTTCTTGGTGGTATACCTTTGAGGTACCATCATCACTTTCATTATGTTGCACAATATCTTTTTGTTCTTCATAACTACAACTAAACGATTCATTGTCATACTCTTCATCTTCAACAAGTGTATTTACATCATCATCGAAGTGCAAATTCTTGTACTCATGTTCAAACTCCAATCTCATATTATTTTCCGTTGAGATTGTAGATGCAGGAGACTTTACATCTTTAGAGCATTGAGGAGATGAAGAGTCCATATATATATCAGTCATCAATTTCACCAAAATAGCTTGATTTCTACAATCTTTACTATTATCAATAGTATTCCTTTTGGTATTTGAATGATTTTGCCTTGTAAAGTCTTGTATATCTTTATAATTTTTGCCCCCCTTTCGAGCTTTTCTTAAGGAAGCCTTTTGTACTAGTGAGGTTACTCGAGAACTAGTTCTCTTTAGTTGTCGAGTAGGCTTTCCAAATTCAATATCACAGTCTTCACACAACCAAGTATTATCATTATTCCTAATTTTCAAAGGATCTTCCATACAATAACTGAAAAAAGTAAAAATAAAAAAATTATTTTCCTTGATATTCAAAATCATGACCAAAAATAAAAGTTAGATTTTCAAAAAGTTAAACATTCCTTATGTATTATATTCGCCAAAAAAAAACATTGAAAAGCTATACTCATATTAGTAAATTTGATGAAAATATAACTATATGAAAAGAAAATTCACACTGAAAAATATTTATAATATGGCAAAAAGCTAACAAGGACCCGCGACATTACTTAAGAGAACTTAAAGTGAAATATAAAAAAATGGTTTTTATTAAATTAAAAAAAAGACAAAAACTTTAAGGTAATCAAAGATCAAAGTGCCTAATAAATTAAATTAAATAATTCAATTTCCACACAACATACCTATGAATTCCAACATCTTTGCAATGCATGCAATAAATAAGGTGTTTTTTGCCTTCGACTCCGCATGTGTAACAAACGGTCATCTAAGAATAGGAAAAAAATAATGTAAATGCTTGATCAATGATCTTAGATATTTGGAACATGAACTAAAATAATAAGCAGGCTAAACTAATTAACTTTACCATAAGTATTAGCAATTTAATTAATAAGAAAAATCTTATGGAATACAGTAGACACTCAACTACTCAAGTATGATACATGGTATGATTACATTATTAATGAGGATATTGTAAAAAGAAAAAAAAAAAGCTTTATAATCAAAACTCATGTACTCCCTCGTGTTTTTAAATTTAAACGCATTGACATGTAAGAAGTTTCGGATTCCAATACAATAAAACAGTTTATCTAATCTACGGAGTATTTTGTTTTTTAAAGTCTAATGATCCATAAAATCAAACAAAATTTGCGTGAAGTAAAATACATAAACTACGTATATGAATTATACCGTATAATTAAGCAAAACATGGTATAAGTGATACGAGGATGTTTAGCATATTCAATTCATAAATTAAAAAACACTATACACAAACTAAAACATCATACTTTTCAAACATTCATGCATAAAATCTAAAGTAAAGACATGAAATTTAAATTACCTTTTGAATCATGAGATAACACCCTACGAAAGTAATGTAAAAGGGGCAGAAATTCCTTTACAAAACGTAAAAAAATTAGAATTTGGATGGGTAGATCTTCCTTATTAACCAACTGTTGAATTTCTATCGATCGACTGAAAAACCCTTGTTGTATATGCTATGTACCTACTTATCATAAAGTCTCTTTATATAACCACTTTGAGTCGGGAACTTAACCGCCTCTATTTTTTTTAATACCTTTTTATTTATGTAATTTTTTAAAAGTGAGATTTACACGGTGCTTAATTTAGTCTAAACTTTCCTAATTATCCTACGAGAATCTTCAAGTATTTTCATAATATTGGAATTTTAGGGTTCCTAGTGTGTATAGATTTGCTATAATTTGTGATACGATAGAGAATATGTAACGATTTTATATGATAGAATTTGGGTTGATATTATCTTTTCAACTTCCCTTAATCTGTATTCAACTATTTGTCATATAAATATGTTTCTTTGTAAACTCTCTTTTTTTAGTAAACTCTCTTCATTAGATCTATCGTTAGTCATATACTTTCCTTTAATATTTTTTCAATTAGCTCTTGTGTTTCAAGCCTTCCTAAATTTTTGTGTAAAGTTAGAAACAAATACTTTACTCTTACCCTTTTCACTAAATTTATTTAAAATTATTATGTACTATGGAGCAATACTTATTAGCCATAAACTAAACACAAATTATTTGCAAGAGCTTTTGTTTACACTTAATTTACAATAATTTTAGCGCAAATTTTGCAATTTTGGACTAACTTTTAGTCAACTTAGAGTAAATTTTACTACTTATTTTAGGTAACTTTAAGCCCGGTAGGATTTTAGTGAGAATAGGACATCAGATTAGTTCTATAATAGTGTAGACACCCAAATGTGTCTCCCAAAATCAAACCCAGTGATATATATCTTTCATGTCATTTGATTATCAAACAAAGCGAAAGTGTGGAAAGTCTAGTGTTGCGGATAGTTTTAATTTATTTTCTTTTCTCTCTGTTTTTGAAAACCTATTTTAAGAAAACGTGCATTCCAATTTAGTTTTGTCCATAATAAGGGTCCAATAATAGTGTATTTGGATAGGGTTTGAAAAGAACTTTCCAACGATATATTATAAGCCCAATTCCAATGAATAATAAGGAAGTTATGACCAAAATACTAAATTGGGCCTGATTTCGTTTTTATATGCGGCCCAATGATCTAGAGGAGGGTCTATTATTAATTATCATTCCTAAAGCTATTAGGATTGATTATAGTCTTCTAGAATATTCTAGAAGATTCTTTTAAATCCTAATGGAGTTAGGATTGATAATTATGTTTCAAAGAGTTTGAAATTGAATAAAAATGCTCCTTTTTAGAATCCTTATTTTTGTACGAAGTGGAATATATTCAGATTTTATTTTCGTGCCTCATAAGATTTATCCAAATTTTAAATGGTTGGATAGATTTTGAAATTATCTTTCCAATTATATATTACAATATTAATTCCGAGCTATAACGAAAAAGATATGAATGAGACATGAAACTCTATCCAAAACTGATACCTTTCCACTATTTCGGCCATATCTTTATATCTACAAAAGATTTTAATCTGATTCCAATTGGATTGGAAAGTAGACTTCAAGAGCTTTCCAACGACATATTATATGACTATTTGGATTTTTGGATCAAAAGATATGATAAAAAACAAAATCTGCAAAAACTACTATCCATCGAGTTTAATTTGGATTCGAATTCGGATTCTCTTTTTATTCTTCGACCCTCTTTTTTCTCTATAAATAGAGGTAATATCTCCCCTTTTTCAATCATCAACAACTACCAATTCTCATCAATTCTTAATCTTCTCACAAACTCTCATCAAGAATCTCTTTATTATTCTCTCTCTCTTTTCTAAACTAGCATTTTGCATACAAAATTCCGCATTCACAAGATCTATAAACACCTAGCCAAATTCGAAGTTGCCTTCGCCCTAGACGTGAAAGGTTTTAATTTCTGAGGGTTTGGTCCCAAATCTCTATTTCAATTATTTAATTTAATTGTTTGATTACATTTTCCTTGAAGTTACTAACGCGTGTATTTTGTTATTAGAAAGAGATACGAGGCATCCAAGTAAGTGCTTTAATTGATTTTATTGATATTATGATTTAGAAATCATTTCTAGGTTGTTATTATGATTCCTAGTATCATGTTAGGGCGTTTTGATCTTCCTAGTATCATGTTTAGGGTAATTTCTAATATCAAATATGACGATTGCGATGCTTCCTATTTTCTTTCCTAATATTCATATTAGTATCATGTTAGGGTTAAATCTTTGATTTTTATCGCTTTGTAACATGCTAGGGTTTGCTATTAATCTTGTTAGTATCATGCATAGGATCTTGCTATTATTATGCTTTAACATGATTATGATTGTGATTATTATTATGATTATTATGATTATAATTGTTGAAATTATATATGATATTTATTATAATTGTTATTATTATGTTGCTTGATATATATTTATTGTTATTGCTTGATCACACCTTTTACGTATGTTTAAAGGGAATTTGTACTTGTAATCAAGCTTAATAAGATAATATATATGATATTTATTATAATTGTTATTATTATGTTGCTTGATATATATTTATTGTTATTGCTTGATCACACCTTTTATGTATGTTTAAAGGGAATTTGTACTTGTAATCAATCTTAATAAGATAATTAATAATCTTGTTTAGGGTTAATTTGATTATAATTCAAGTGATCGCCAATAATAGTTTTATTTGTGCATTATATTCAACCAACATAGATAAACAGGTTTAGGGTAATCCTATTGATTGCATGTTAGTCAGAAACCGCACATGAATACAATCAGAATAAAGTAGAGGCCTATTATTGGGCAGGTTCAATCTCTTTTAGGTTGGATTTGTACCTTCATCCCGAACTACCAGTCATGGGTCCAGACCTATTGGAGTTAACGATCTCTTGGATCGTTAAGGGGTGTAACCTTCACCTCGTGAACGGTTTACAAGTTCCTAAAACTTGTTGGCGACTCTTTTGCTCTAGTTTCTTTCCCTTTGGACGCCACCGTACTTTAGTGTATGATCACAGTGGGGTTCAAGCTAGGGATAACGCTTGAAATATTCCCTACAAATAGTAACATATAGAGTTGTCAATTCAGGTAAACAGGTAGGGTAAGAGTAGGTCGGGTCAACTCGGGTCGGGTCAATTCGGATTAATTCCATAATCTACGCTGGTCGGGTTAGGGTTGGGTCATGCTTAAGTCAGGTCACGTCAGGTCATACTTCTTATCGGGTTTGGGTCGGGTTAATAACAGGTCGGGTTACAATCGGGTCGGGTTAACAATAGGTCGGGGTTAATTCGGGTTTTCACGGGTTAAAAAGGATTTGGGTAATTCTCGGGTTCGGGTTGGGTTTGGTTCAAGTCAATAATTTGCGGGTTATAATCAAGTTGGGTCATTTCCAAGTCGGGTCATTCTCGAATTCAAGTCAGGTTATGTTCAAGTCAATAATTTGCAGGTTACAATCAGGTCGGGTCATTTCCAAATCAGATCATATTCGGGTTCAACTAAGTATAAATAGATAACTATCATTTTTATCAAGCTAATTATTTTCTTTGACTATAATATATATGACAATATACTAGGGAACTATAGTCTATAATTTAGGAAGATAATTATCTCCTTTGACCATACAACAAATATATATTGTATTTAAATCTTAAATTTGAGGATGATGCTCCTTTATTTTGCTAACCTGGACCAACTTGGTCTCCTAGACAAAATGTTTTGATCAACAATAATAAGGTGGTCTAAATTGCATTTAAGGTGATTTGAAATCGGACCAGGGACAATTTGGGTTGAATTTAGGTCGGGTCAATAACAAGAAGTGTTAATTTTGAGTTGGGTTAGTAACAAATCAGGTTGAATTTTTGGGTCAGA